ATATAATAATAATAATGATAAACTTTCATATTTAAAGCAGCGCTTCTTCGTTCACATATTACTCAGAAAATCTATACTATACTTGGAAAACTCTTCCAAAAGCAACGAAAAATAAAAATCGATTTCTTATAGTTATTTACAAAAATTAGGACATGCAAAAAGTATAAATTTATCTATCAACCTAAATATAATATAATCAAATTATAGCACTATTTTTGTAATAAACATAAGATTTGTTTACAAAATAAATTTATGGTTTAATCTAGACAATGAAATTCGTATTTAGAATTGAATCCTTAATTAAAATAACCACCGACTGAAAACTGATTATTATATCGTAATTAAACCTTATTTAAACGGCTTAAATATTAGATCACAAAATTTGCAATGGCAAAGAAATTCTCACCAGTACCGATGTGCTTTGTAGAAGATAATTTTTCTAAATGCCAATGCATTTTACCGAGTTGAAACTGACGTCACCAGCATATAAAGTAGTATTGAACTCCATTGTGCACAAAACCTTAAGTATGGTACCTGTATACCTATCTGTATTTGTTTAAATTGCGAAATAATTGGAAGATGTTTATTCTTCTTTTTCCTATCTTTTAATAATCCAAAAACTAATTTTCTGATATCTTCATAAGTTAAGAATGTGTTTTACTTAAAAAGTCTCAACTGAAAATTTTCTTCATTCCTATTGTTTTTTTTGTTTTTTTAATTAATTTGCTATTATATGTCGGAATTTTTAATAAGAGGCATTCAAGTAATGACGGTGCATACCAGTTAGTTTTAGCTCGTATTTATAAAGTAAAATGAACTTCCACTGACGATGAGGAAGAATAATTTTACTTGAGAAAAGACGAGAATGATGATATCAAAAGAAAGAATATTAATAGACTACTCACTTGCAAAGCACAACCGACTAAAAGGGGGAAATCAGTAATATGATAGACAAATGAACCTTTGTAATCCGAGAAGAGAGTACTAATTCTATATTTTCCTATAATATCGCATATTGTTAAACTGATTTTGATTTCCGTCGTCTCTTGTTGAAACATTTCGAATTTGATCAATGTAATAAGCAGTTGAAACGTTTCACAATTTCAGAGTGGGTAGTTCTTGTGTTACTGAAGGTGCACTTAAAAGATGAAATACGTAATTATGCAACAAAATAAAACGCCAAGTCTTCCAAGCCCTAATTTTATTAACTGAATAATTTTAAATAAATGTATGTTACATAAATAAATACAGATTCTTCTGAAACGCCTTTATTACAAAAAAAAAGTTTCTTACTTTAAGAAGAGAGGGTAGGTTCTGCTCTAAAATGTTCACTCTTAAAATCAATGTCTATTTATGGTTCAAAAAATGTGAACAGTTATTCTGAGAATATTGAAAAGTAACAAAAATAGAAAATATAAAAAGCTAGCTACAGCGAAAACGTAGGCATACAAAAAAGTTATTGAGTGGATCTTGACTTTTATTGCAATCCTAACAATTAGGGTTACTAGGAGCTGCTATCGAGCATCCGAACTAAAGGGGATGAAAAGTAAGTCCTGGTTTTGGTCGAAAACAAGGCTATAATAGAATTATAAATAAAAACAAAAAAATTCTGGTATGAAAGTTTTTTAATTAAAATGTATAACCAAATACCAACGTTTCGCCTTAAGATGAAAATTCTCTTCACAGTAAAGGATTACAAAAGACATGAAACCTCCTAGGAATATAAGGTCAAAAAAGCAAGTTTTTGAAGGTGTTGCGAAACATTAGACGCCTTGAATATTTGTCAGGTTAAATTCAATGCGTTAGTGAATTAATTTTTTGAATTAACTTTACATAAGGTTAATTGAGGTTATCTGTAGTGGGTAAAGTTAATTCAAAAAACTAATTCACTAATACACCTGTAACATATTTTTTTACCTTTAGCTAATAATCTAATTTTCCAAATAATTATCCCAACTTTTTTTTATATAAGACAACCCACAGTTCAAAAAAAGAAAAATAATAAATAATTAAAATACATTTTTTTTATATAAGACAACCCACACACAGCCTAAAAGTAGAAATATAATAAATAATTAAAATACTGTGCAGTAACAACTTTCACACTTAAAAACAGGAAAAGATATTATTAATTATTTACGTTCATATTTTTGGTCACTCACAGCAACTGAAATTTCGCGATGTTGATCCAATAAAGCCACTTAAAAATTTAATTAATATCCATTATGTTTCTGAGCACCTAAGATGAATAATTAACTAATTCTTGAATTTAATGAATAAGTCTTTTTATTATAATTATTTCACTTACGATATTTAACTTCTTCAGGGGCTGAGAATATATCAATTAGTTATAAGAAATAATTACTTAAAATTGTAAATGCTACTTACAAATATATAAAAGGTCAAGGAAGGTGATCACCTAAAATTTAGACTTACTAAACATTCTTACGTTAATTATTTCAATTATTATGTACTAACTACAAACATATACTTATTCATTTAAAAAGTTATTACATAACTTAATTTTAGTTGTAACTGGTTTAAAATTATTATCATAATTAAAAATTGAAATAGATCAGGATTATGATGCCGTACGGTTGAATAAAATGAAATATATCATTTGATCTAGTTCAGATCATTGTCAAGGAGACTATGGAAACTAATATTAAATAAGTATAACCAAATAAAATAATTCGAAGTGATCTGTATTCTGTCGAAACTGCCAGACGTAGATTGCGATTTCGATCTATTTGGATCTCATCAGCGCGTAGCAGACAGCTCCGACAGAGCACAGACCAACTATTACCTGCTGTCTTAACGGCGCGTTTTTGGAAATACCATAAATGGCGCGGTAAACGCCATCTATAGTACGATGTTACATTTTAGGATTACGTATGCTCCAACAAGGTGCATTTAAATATATGGATATCTACTTGCTGAAACGAATCCCGGCGTAGCTAACCTCAACGTTATAGGCACGTTACCATAATCGAATAAAATAATTCGAAATGGTCTGTATT